TGTCATGCATCAACTGCGGGTGTCTGGACAACAGCAAAACTCAACAGAGGATCCAGAAAGTCTAGCGTTGTAGGTCTGTGTCTCAGCTCCATATGACAATTACTTCTTTCTCCATCCGTGCATAAGGTTTGAGTTGACATTTCTTCTCAAATGGGAGTGAAGGAAACCTAAAGTAGTTTATTAATCTCCCATCGTCTTAAAAACTAGAAACATCTGCTTGAGACACAAGTAACTTCTTAGTGGAGTTTGGCAGTAGGGAGGCCCAGGCTAATGAGGTATACCTTCACTATGACATTACTACAGTCAAAAAGGTTTATTTAGAGGCTGTCATGGGACACAATGATTAATAAGTAGTGAAAATGAGGCATAAATCAGAGCATTTCTCATGTACATCACACATTTGCATCAATCACACTTTAAAGACACTATTGCAGGAAGCTAGTCAGTAAACGGCTCTTAATCATGTGAGGCTGAGGTCTACCTCAGGAGACAGACAAAGAGGTAAGTGTCTGGAGGCAGCATGCTTACTTGTGCCACACAACACACTGAATATTATGACGATATCCCAATCAAGCTCTGGGCCTCAAAACTGCTGTTACCCTGTCTCTGCTGAGGGTGACAGCGAACCATCAGGCTCCCAGTCACTGAGGGAGCTTTCAAATGTTCACATGAAGGTTGATGCGAGCTCCCTGCCTGACACATACCCCTGCTCCGCCAGTGCCTCGCAGCAAAACTGGTCTGAGAGACTGGACCTTTAGTTGAGGCAACTTGCCATATTTCTTCCTAAGGCCCCTCTGCTTGTACCTCGTGCCAGGCAGACAGCTCATGCATCGCCCACAGAACCGCACAGAAATAGCCATTGCTCAGGGGACAACGCCAGGGCTGGTGTCAGAGGAGTGCTGTCCGTGCAAACACAAGTATGTATTATTGATGGCCTCAGCTTATGCTTTTCTCATACATAATGGCAGAGGGAGTGCATGAAGCCTCTGGTTTGTTCAGGGTCTGCTCTAAACTAAGTACCTTCATGGCTTGCTGTTTTGTAAATGCTGGTGATGGGCTATAGTGTTTCAATTACCTGTTCACAGTGAGAGGTCTAATCATGATGCCTGTGAATCCCCATTACTTCTGGCCCCTGCTGTGCCCAAGTCAGTGGGAGTCCCAGCAGCACAAATGTTTATCTCTGCACAATCTTCATCTCTGTCTTTGTTTTGCCTCATTTATAAAAATCTTACTTAAAAGTAAATGACACACACTCAGTAAAGGGGAAATTAATCACAGTGGAACCGAACTTCTGACACCGAGTTTTAAAGGAAACAAGAAGACTGATCATAGGATGGTCCTACAGAGAGTGGATGTCAGCATGTTAGCAATAAAATCTTTTTGTCTCAGACAGAAAGCATTTTCCCTGTCTGCTATTTCCTCTACTCTGCTGAGCAATGGCAGATCCCCTGGGATCTTTAGGCTGCCACAGAAGGAGTATAAGTTTTAATCAAATCTTTCTGTGCCAGTTTGGGGTCATTTTATCCCTTCTGAAGGATCCATTTGTCCTGATTAAAGTATTACAAGAAGTCATTTAAAGGACAAATAAATGACAAGAGATTTTATAAGTGAAGGGTAAACCACGTGCTGAGTGGGCTATAATTAGTTCCTTCTATTAATGCCTTAGGTGGCGTTGTAGTTCACAGTCCTAATAACTAAACACTTAGTAACAGAGCGTTGGGTTAGTGTTTTAAAAAAAACCCACAGGCCAAGCTGGGGACTTTTCTCAAGGTTTCCTGAGAGCAAGCAGGGAACAGACCTTGTAGCACTTGTGGCAGTGGCAAAGTGTCTCAACTCAGTTCAAAAGCCACTATCACCTTCAAAGAAACTGCAAATGGACTTTTTCTTTCTTAACACGTGCTGATGTTGAAGACTGAGGATAATGAGAGAATTCTGCCATTCCAGTGTGGCTTTCCATTTTAGCCTGTAATTGCACTTGGATGAGAGAGCTGGTGATTGGGGAAAAGTGAGGAAAGACACATGCAAAGCACAGGCAAGCAGATGGTGTACCATCACTTCCCTGTGCCATTTCTGCTCTTCACACTCCCATTACTTCCCACTTTTCAAAAGTGATGAGAAGTCTTCAAAATGGAAACCTCTAGTCTCCTGTGCTAACCCTGTTAGTGAAACATGGCACATTGACCTGGATCTGACCAGGACACTTTCTTGATGTCTAGAATAACATAATTCACCATGTCTACTGTAATTACTTAATTCTATCCTGAATGCACATTTCCCAGGGACTGGTACATTTCTCAAGAAACAGAAGGCACTTGAAAAACTTAAATATTTAATATTTCAGATGCTGACTTCGTTTTGCTTAACAGTTGCGCTAGGAGTCTACTATTTCCAGTTGCCCTATGAGGTGTGAACTGAAACTCAAACTTACAAAACATGTTTTACTCTGAAGGACAAATCTCTACATTTCTTCTGCTCTGCCTGTGCCACCTCTCTCCTGCTGAGGACGCTGCAGAAAACCCCAGTTTGCAAGATAACCGTTCTATACTATGGCAAATGAGGCAAAGTGAGGCTACAGAAGACAGCAGAGGCCCTTCAGCCTTTTTCCCTGTCCCCTAGACAGATGTAATTACCCAATGTGAGATTTGGCAAGGGTGATTAAATGAATAAATAGAATAGCACAGCTAAAATTTCCAGAAGCTCATACAACATCATCTGCTCTTTGCAGGTTCTTCTACCACTTGCATCAGAATAGTAACAGAGTGTCACACAGCACAGTTATCTCCAGGAACATACTATGCAACATGACTAACATCTATTCCTTCTTTCTACTTATCCCCAAGAGATGAAAGCCCAGTCTTTTGCGAAAGTGGGGGTCTCATTAGTAAAATATCAGTATAAAAAAGTATTTTTTCTTAAAACATAACTTCACTAAATATATCAATGTTGTTGGGAGCTCACTTACAAAGACCTTTTTTGTACAATCTACTGATTATTCATAATAGCTGAATATGATACGTTATTAATAATTCAATAGTTTTTGGTTTGTTCTAAATTCTATAAAATAAGAAAGAAAATTACTTCAGGGATTCAATTAGCAAATTATTTCAAAGCACTGCTAATTATTAATGCTTCTTGATAGAGGCTTTTCCTGTGTAAAGACAGTTCTATAATTATCCAGAAGATGGCATAAGCAGGCCAGTTATTGACCTTCCAGTACCAAGAAGTAAAACTAAGTCTTACTAATAATCTATTTCAAAACAATCTACTTATAAAAATGTATATTTTGATATGGTCAGCGAAGAGGAGTTTTCTTTCTTAAGACATAGCCCTTTCCTCATCAGCATCATGCAAGGAAAGTACCACTTGATAGCTATACAGCAGTACTGAGAAAAAGGAATCTGAGTAGGCTAATATGAAAATCTTAAGCAGATATTTATGATTTTTTTTGGCATTAGCCTATGTCCGTTATATAGAAATCTTTCTATTTGTCCAGTTTCTTTTGATGAAGAGACAGCAACAGTGACTGATAAGAAAGATATCTGTGTATTTTTGTATCTGTATTGTACTCTGTCTAGCTTATTTCATTCTGTTTTCTTTTCCAAAGGGTTTTATTCAAATAATTTCTAAA